GTTTCCTAGCTTCTAGTTGGGCAAGTTATAACAGGGTCATTGTACTGAGCTTCCCCAATAGTTACCCTTGGGATGACCTTGTTAACTTCAATTCAGAGGAAAAAACTTGGCAAATAGTAATAATTCCGTGGGCCATTCCCCTGAGAAACCCTGACATACCTGTTAATCATTTCTTGCCCTGAACCACTCATTCTACTTAGATAGACCACAACTGTTACAAAATTCCCTCCCAAGGCCAGTAGAACAAAAGTTTGCAGATTAATTCCCAGCTTTAGAAAATTCCCTATGAAGAGGGTGACAAATTCTACATAAAGGTCATTTGTTGCAAACACAGTATGTTGCAAGCACGTTGAGTTTTAAATTCTCAATATTGCTTCATGCATCATTTATCCCATGCCATGCTGTCCCCTAGGTACCAGTTCTATTCATCCTATCCCAGTGCTTAGGTCCAGAGGGACACGTTGTGTGGGGAATGAAAGCATGTTGTCTTGGCCACTGTGGAAGGACTGACTATGTGTGGCCTTGGAAGTGTCACCTCACCTATGGATTTTAGGTTCCCCAACTATGAAATGCAAGGATTGGATGAACCATCTTTTTGATGACTACCAGCTCCAACAGTACCTGCTTCTATAATGTGAAGCACGAAGAGATGAGATTAGGAAGGTGGTGGAGGCTGGTGGTGAGTGGCAGAGGTAGGTAGCTGAAGGAGGACTTTGAATGAAAGACTGAAGAGCTTAGATTTTCTACAGTAGACAAGGAAATCAATTTAGGTTACCGAACAGCTGGGTGAAATGATGACAGTGGTATGAAAGTTAGATTAATCTGACAAGTGTGTAGGATGCACTGGAGTGGATTTAGGGACATCACACATACACAATAACAGCAAAGTTAAGGCAAACATCTCATTATTTTTGCTTCCCAGAAGGCAAAAGATTCTACTTCTGTCATATTGAAAAGAATCAATTAAATAAGAAATTGTAAGCCTAAGGAAAATTTCAGGGCTTAACTTTTTATTTCCCATTAATCATCCACACCCATATCTCCTACATGAGTACAGGCCTTTAAAGTTTTCAAACAATTTTCACAGGTGCTGCCTCATTTCATCCCCTTAAACATCAAGTATTTTCCAACAAATACTAGAAATAGCCCTAAACCAAGACCAAGAAGCAACTGACCACAGACTCTTTTAGGCAACCTGGCCTCATTAGCATTTCATTATGGAAAGGTTTGCTCAACTGGTGGCTACTCAGAGAAGGTATTCTTGGGCTGTGGGACATGAGTAATGAATGAAACATGGAAGTCCACCTCCTGGAGTTAGCTGAATGGCAAGTGGGTCCCTGACTTCCTGGACATCCCCATGAGTGTACATTGACTCAGTTTTGCTCCCCACCTCTTGGGAGGTGAAAACCTTCCCACAGTCAAGTGCTTTTTAAAACCATTATCCTCTCACCTGAAGGTAGACTAGGCCTCTGTCACATGGGAGCAATCCACAGGCAAAGAAATAGGTTTTATGTGCCAACATGGATGGACCTTGAGAGCACTATGCTAAGTGAAATAAGCCAATCTGAGAGAGACAAATACTACTAGTATATGATTTCACTTATATATGGAATCTAGTAATCAAAATAAATAAGCAAACAAAATAGAAACAGACTCACAGATACAGAGAACAGACTAACAGCTGTCAGAAGGGAGGGTGGTTAGTGGGCTGGGTGAAAAAGGAAAAGGGATTAAGCCAAAAAACACACACTGAAACATAAAACACCGTGTAGATGGTGATTACCAGAGGGAAAGAGAGTTGGGGGAGACAGAAGAGGGTAAAGAGGGGATAAATGTTGATGGAAGGAGACTTGACTTTGGTTGGTGAATACACAATACAATATACAGATGATTATAGAATTGCACACCTGAAAGCTATATTATTTTATTAACCAATGTCACCCCAATAAATTCAATAAAATTTTTAAAAAATAGGTTTTAAATGACCTCACAATTTCCAATGGTAAGTGGTGCCTACTTAAAGTTCTCTGTTGACTGAGAAGGCCCCTGAGACTGAGTTATCTATTATCCATATACTAAAGGCCGGGTGCACAAAATTCGTGCATGGGGGTGGAGGGGTGGAGGGGGGGTGGTCCCTCAGCCTGGCCTGCACCCTCCAATCCGGGACCCCTCGGGAGATGTTCGACTGCTGGTTTAAACCAGCACTCGGACATCCCTCTCGCAATTCAGGACCGCTGGCTCCTAACTGCTGACCTGTTTGCCTGCCTAATCACCCCTAATCACTCTGCCTGCCTGCCTGATTGCCCCTAACCCCTCTGCCTGCCTTCCTGATGCCCCTAACCCCTCTGCCTGCCTGATCGCCCCTAACTGCTCCCCTGCCTGTCTGATGCCCCTAACTGCTCCCCTGCCTGTCTGATGCCCCTAACTGCTCCC